GACGGTCCTTACGGTGTAATGCAATTACGGTTACCAAAAGGTCCAAATTACGGTCGGACCGTAAGCGTGCGAGCCAATACCGACGACCACACCTCGAAACATGCCATTTCGTCCCTTGGAGCTACGGGATAGTCTTAAAAAGCTTATTATACATTAACCTATGATTAAATTATCACAAAAGACAGCCAAAAAATGCTGAATGAGGCGAAAACATTTCAACCGGAGCACCGCGCGCGCATCGAGTACTGCATCTGTTGTATGCCATCATGCCATATGCTAAATCCTCAACCAAGAATGATGCTCCTAATATATACGGGCCGAACGTGCGTAACAGTGTCAGCCTCTGCCTCCTGGGCTGCGCATTGCCGCTAGGGGCATTTCGTCATCATCGCTGCTGGCGTCCTCCTCAGTGTCATTCTGTTGCTGCAGCGGCACCTGGGTCTTAGTTCCACTGTTATCAAGGTGGTCCCGCTGCTGCTGGCCCTCCACTGTCACCTGGATGTCACCCATATCGCGGCTAAATACAAGCTTAGGTGCAAGTAACCCTGATAAAACTATGTAAAAAGGTATGAAATAAGTTTATATATCGTTATATAAAAGAAAAGAAAGGATTTGGCTCCGACAACGAGGACCGTAAATCGTTACGGTCCACTTTGCCCCGGAACCCACCGTAAATTTCGGTATTTACGGCGTTGCGCATTACACCTTTCGCAATTACGGTCCATTTTATGGGATTACGGTGTTTTTCCCAGCCCTAATAACATTAACTAGTTGCTGGAAAGGCGGCAGGAAAAGGAGCATCCATACGCGCACACAATTAGAACCCCGCCGTAAGATGAGTCGGTGGCTGTGAGGCAGGTGAGGACATGCCTGGAGGCTGAAAGGGCATAAATCGCATCAGGAGCCGTCGTACACCGCAACCGATGCATCATACCATCAACTAGTTGCCAGAAAAGCGGCGGGGAACGCGTCTTCATCAGTCACGCTCACTAGGCAACCATCATGGGGAAGGGATGTAAGACCGTCATCCTCTGGGATGGGTCGAACTACTCCCGCTGGCTCGGCGACTTAGGCGATTTCCTCGCAACGTCCAAGTTGAAGAGCTACATCAACAACTCGTCGCCTCCGAGCCGCAACTCCCAAGACGCCCTGGAGGAGGACGAACAGGCGCTCAGCATCCTGCATCTGTCCTGTGAACTGCCCATCAAGCAGTTGCTCATGAATTGCCCGACCGGTCTCGCAGCCACGTCAGTAAAATTGGAAGTCACCTATAGGTCGGGCCATCGCCTAATATGTAGGACCGCGGAATATGTGGCGTATAGGTGATTTCGCGTATATAATCGCATACATCACACCTATAGGCGATCTGTTGTATACAGCATGGCATATAGGCCTGTAGGCTATAGGTTACCATGTGTACGCATGCAAAGCTGTGAGAGCCTATAATCCGTTGTATATATACAGGTATGCCTTTATGTAGGCCACTCGTATATACAGTGTTCGGGCCAAAGCTGCACTAGCTGCTGCATGCGAAACATCTTTGACCTCCCTTGAAATGCTGCAAACTATGAGGTCTGTGCATATGAAACGTATTGTATTCACCCTTCATGCCGAGGCACATGCAGCAGTGGAGCCCATGCAACGCCGTCGGGCACCCCTCGTCCCTAAGACCTACTTACTGCTCAGCTTACGGCATCGCTGATTGGCAGCGATATTGGGCGCCGAACCCTAAGCGGGTACGACAGCGATCCCATGCTCAAGAAGAGCTCGGTAGCAAAACTGCAGCTTAAACGGAAAGACGGCTTCTGGTATTACGGTTCCCAGTTGTACGTTCCGGATGTGCTTGACTTGCGAAAGGACGTCATCCACGAAAATCACGATGCTCCTTACGCTGGCCACCGCGGCATTGACCGCACCAAAAAAGCGATCGCGAAACATTTTTGGTGGCCTGGGTTGGATACTAACGTGAAGGCCTACGTTAGTACCTGCCCTTCTTGTCAGCGCAATAAGGCTTCGAATCAAAAGCCAGGCGGACTGCTGCAGCCCCTTCCCATTCCAGATAACGTTTGGGATAGTGTGTCAATGGATTTGGTCACACAGCTACCCACAACCCGGAATGGGCATGACGCGATAGTAGTGTTCGTGGACCGCCTGAGCAAGATGACGCACTTCACTCCCACAACCACATCCGTCGGTGCGGAAGATCTAGCCCGCCTCTTTGTGGCTACGGTTTTCAAACAGCACGGCCTTCCACAGAATATTGTGTCTGACCGGGACACACGCTTCACAAGCAACTTCGGGAAGGAAACATTTCGCCTGCTAGGCACCCACCTCTATATGAGCACAGCCTACCATCCGCAGACTGATGGTCAAACCGAGCGAATGAATGGCTTACTGGAAGAGACACTGAGGCACTATATTTCGCCCACTCAGGATGATTGGGACGAACACCTGCCACTCATCGAGTTCACTATTAATAACTCGAGGCAGAGCTCAACGGGTGCCACCCCGTTTAGCCTTAATGATGTGTGAAACAGGGGGGTGTATCTTCGCCCGTGGCAGCTACCCTGCGAAACCCTGCCTTCCCCGGTATTTCGGGGCACCCTCATCCAGTCACCCTGGTCAACTTCTCAGTGGATCGCTAAGGTTCCGCACCCACCACCAGCATCCAACGGAATCTGCCGGGTCGACAGCGGCCTGACTCCATTCCTAGTCGGCTGGCAGGTTAACTTTTTCCCAGGTCCCCACCGTCCATCAACAAGGGGCGCAATATCTTTCATCATCGGAAGGACTTTTGATCCTAACGGGTATCGATCCCGGGATCTCTCGGGGGCAATGGTCGCGCCACACCATTGGTGCCAAACCCTATGAACCGGAAGGTTCCCTGCGTCAGTCCGTTCCCTGGCCGAAGCTATTGACGACTATGAACGACGGTTGGCGGCAAAGTCCGGGCAACCTACACAAAAAAGGAAAGTGGTCCTGACCACCGCCCCTTCGGTAGCACCCCGGAACATTACCCCAGAACAACCGAAATGGAAAGCACCTGCTCGCAAGAAAAGGTAACGCTCCCGGGACGGTTCGCTTCTGAGGGGGAGGGATGTAGCAAGCTACATTTACCTTAGAATATCTTTAAGCTATTAAAGCTTAATCACAGTAACGGTACGGTCCCGTAGTTACGAACCATACTCGTTAACTGTACGAACTCACTTTCTGTTACGCTATCACAACCTAGCGTACGACACCAAGACTCCAGGAATGGAGATGGCGGTAGGTGGGCCGCATTTAAGCCACCCAGGTGAAGTGCTTCGGCCAGACACTTCTGTATCATTATACTAGTGTTCAGGGTTCAAGACCTTGCTGTCACCGCTATCAACGTATGTCTTCGAATCCCGACTTCCCTTGTCTCTTTTCGCGCCTAACGCTGGGTCGTCAATCGTGGACGAGACCTTCCTCTTCCGCTAATAAAACAGCTAAGGTAAGAGACGGCTGTTACACTCCGTCGCATCTAAGCCAACAATAAGGTTTTAGCATTGCGTGAAGGCGCTTAACTGACCAAGGTTAGGGACGTTGCATATCACGGCAGAAGGCTGGCGATGGCGGTCTAGGATTTCGCAACATACGGACCCTTCATGACATCAAGGTAGGCTGCCACTTCGTCATTTCGTGGGATATGGTTGCTCCTACCTGCGCCTTCATAACTGTGAAGACCCGCGGTTAATACAGGGAACAATGGCCGGCGCTGTGCTCGGCGGTGTACCCTGTCTGGCCTAGGTAGCACACTAGCGAAGACTACGTTGCAACCCAGCTGCACCGGCTCCGTGCGCGTGGCAAGACGGGCGACGGCGATAAAGATGCCAGGAGACGATGCTGGCCTAGGACACAAGGAGGAGAGCCCCACCCGCGCATTCGCGACCTGTAGACATAGGACTACAAAGGATTCGACAGTACGAGAATTTATCTGAATGCATAAGCGTACAGCTGCGTGCATGGACGTAGAGCTTTACGCACATGCGATCTTTAAAGGGATGACGAAACTAACAGATGGGCGGCAGGCGAGCGGCATCCGAAATGGCCGTCGCGCAATGCTCGAGCTGTGGACGGTACGAGCTGTGTAACATTCCGGGGCGTAAATTTGTGGCCCTTCGGGTCCGCAGCTGGTTGTTTGGGCCCGCAGCTTGTATCCTGAAGCATGAGCCGCCCTTGGGTTGTGACTAATTGTTAGCTTATCGGGAGCAATAATTGCGTTAATATCGAGGACGCCGAAAAAGCTCTCATAAACCACATGCGCTTTGGAGTGCTTTTGACCGATGTACCGAACATATTGAACTTGATTGAACGCACTGAGCACAGGTGCCAACCTGGTTCCAACGTACTGCACAGGGTGCGCACCCTTGGCTACGGATATTATCAAAGGAAATAGCGTAAGAGGCGGCATGCCGCGCCAAACTGTCACCTAATGGATTTGCGTTGTGGCGACGCGCGGCAATGAGTAAGATGAAGCCCTAGGGGCGGGGCTTTCGGACGCAGCATCGTTTTCGACCACCATTATGATAATGCCACATTATGACATTAATGACAAAATGTTAAGAATGCACGCGTATAGGATTACCCTATAGTAGATGCTGCGAAGCGTGGAGCGCCAGCAGCACGTGGGCATGCAAATTGCCATGAAAAAGCTTCTTACACATCATATTGCATTGAAACAAATAAAAGAGATCATTATCAGCGTCATTTAGGTTCACAGTTTTGCGAATAGCTAAGAAACATGCTAGGCATCATTTTAACTTGTATGCACGACAAGGCTCTGTCGAAAACAGAACCTCCTCCAGCTGTTGTGCATGCTTGCCACATTACAAATAATTAAAACAATAGGCTTGTGAGGCTTCTTTCATATCCCATTGAAGAAAATGTCATGACTGCATTGCACCGGCACTTGGACACATCGGCCGTGGTTACGAGCAACACCTCATTTCATCCACAGGTCGATAAGCTTCACCATTATGGATCGCTCTAATCGAAGGGCTTTGCAGCAGCTAGAGCAGACCCGCCCGCCAGGGGACGAGCCGGCCACAGTCGTCACCATGGAGAACAAAGGGCAAGACAAGGTAATTCTGTTCTAATCGCCGAGTCTGATGTAGCTTTGGACAGGTTAGTGACGAGCATGCTTATCACCGGCAGGTAGGTAGGCGATTCTCCTGTTGCGGGATACGTCGGGTGTGTTTCTTGCAAGACAAGATAGGAAATAGGGAATCATAATGGTGTCTTCGCCGGCGGCCCTCTTTTGTGACCTAGGTGCCGGGTCATCGACCTGAAAACCTCGCTGCGGAACTGATTTTAGGCTTGAAAAGCTCTACGGAACGTACAAAAGCGTCTGCAGAACATGTATAGGAATGGAAAGCATACAGCATGTCTCGCAATACAAATGACATGTTGCAACCAAAAGTTGAAACCTTGCGCGCTCGGAAGAGAAAACTGAAGAGGGCACGCTTCTAGGATACGTCCTGAACTTATCTAGATAGCTTCTTTATCGGAACAGGCGGGAGCCTGTCGAACCACGTGGGTCCGGGGACCAGCACTTGCAGATCAAAATAATAAGCTGAGAAAGCTGCAAGACCCACACTGAAAAGACACAAGCGCTCTGATCACACCTTACCGCATAGTGCCTGTTTCAGTCTCTTCTCGTACCGACGTTGGTGACGTGCGTGTCGTGCAGGGCTCAGTGAGAGCCTCGATCATGTCGGACCTTGTTGGTCCGTTGGGCTCCCTTCCATCCCTGCATTCCTCCCGGTCGGACCGATCGGAAACCCCACCCGCTTCCGAAAGGAGGAAACCCCTTCCAGAAATCTCCCGTTTATGGACTGGAACTGAAGCCCGCACATTGAGGATTTACGTTTAGGCAACCATCGAGATGAAATTGTAAGGATGCGCACATTCGCATCCGTACAGGTCGCACGTACCGCAAAACTTCGGTACGACCCATCCTCTGCACACGCAAAGCGGTGCAAGGCCATTTGAAACGCGTGCACACCTGCGCGCCCACTTATCACCTCCCGCTGTTCCTTCCCTCAGGCAGCACTCACCGGCCAGTGTGCTTCTGCTCCTGCTGCTGACTCTGCTGCTATCCTAGGTGCTGCTGGGGCTGGTTATCGCGCTGCCGGTGACGCTTGCAGCAGCGGCATTGGTCCTGGGCTTCCTGCTGTGGCGGCAGTGCCGCCGTACCCGCACTCTGGCGGGCAGCGTGAGGCCCCCAGGGGTAGGCCCGCAGACGACGCTCCTGGTCACGGTACGGGGGACGGTACGGGGCCTTTGTGGAAAAGGTTCAGGACAGCAGTACATTAACACCGCCCATAGCGGGATACCAACATGAAGGGTGTGGCATAGGAAGTAAGACGCTGGTGTTTGACGCATGGAAGAAGGAAAGAGGCCGCCATGCATGTGGTGAATGCGGACAATGCCAGCGTGTTAGCTCTAAAGCTGGCTTTCTGCGTTCGCAAATAGAGCTTCTGTAATTGCATCGGACACACCCGCTAATGCCTTGCATTGAATACCCGCCCTTGTGCCCATTCCCCCCTGCCCCCTGCCCGCCACTGTACGTTTGAATTGTCTGTACGGCGCGTGTGGCGCGCATGCGTCCACAGGACATCATGGTGAGGTGCACTCGAGAGCACTGGGCCATGTACGACCACTATACGGCAGCGAGCCTAAAATTAGAGGGTGGGCGGGTGCTCTGGCGGTTGTACCACGTGAATGTTGGGGTTCTCATCACCCAGGTTGATAGTGTGCCAAGATCTACACCCCGGGGTGGGGCTAGATAGGGTGTACATCGCGCAGGGTTGCTAGGTGGGATGAACAGCTTCCCATCGCAGATGCAGAGTGGATTGCGGACCCAGGAGGAATACCTACCCCTCGAAGATGAGGGTAGGAGCAGTCCGGGCTTATGTAGGGTCTGGTCTAACTCCCCCTTTCCCCACACGAAACTGCACTACAGCTGCTCAGCTGTAACCTCACCTCAGCCCAACCGAGCCAAACCCAGATCAGTCTACCCGGGTCGGTGGGGCCCTGTTGCACCGTAATCCACCGTTCCTCTCCTACCTGACCAAAACCCTCTCCCCCACTGCTGCTGGCGTGCTGTGTGGCACATTGCGTACGTATTACGTATATATTCTGTTCGACAACGGGGCCACGGTGCGGTGTCATGTGATGTTGTGGTTGGCATGCTGGAAAAACGCTCACCTGACAGAACTCAACCGTCTTGTGGGAGTCCATTCCCGCCTTTTCCATGGACAAAGCGGTGCGGCTACACCATGCATGCCTGAGAAAGCTGCTGCGGCCTTTCAACGGCTACGAAAGCGCAACGGAGGTGCGGACAGGGGGAAGGCTGCGGGAGCATGGGGAAAGGGCGTACTGGGCCTGAGAAGGGCGGTCATTGAAGAACGTATTTGTAAGACTTCTGGCACTTGGGAAACCCGGAGGAAAGGGCTTAGGGGGTTTTTAAGTCATGGGGGCCCCCATGGCGAATGGCCGACAAGGTCCTTGGAGACAAGAGCCATGTTAACGTTAGATTCACAGGCCGATGTGACGACTCAGGGGGGAAAGGCAAACCCAGGACGACATGTCGCGATTAACTACTTTGGGTTGGCTCCGTTTGATGCAAGGCCCTGGAGATCTGTCCCGTCTGCTCTTCACTAATCCCTTCCTCTACATCGCAGGGCGACTGCTTCATTCTGGCCTTCCATGCGCCGGCCGATGCGGCCCGGTATGCCTTGGCGGCGCAATTGGAGCTCATGGTGCGGAGGGGGGGATCCCTGGGGGCCTCTTGGGGGCTCAGTGCCCAAATGACTGGTTGCCGCTGGGTGCATAGCTATGGGCGGGGTCAGCTTTAATACTTCAAAAGAAAGGGAAAGGTAGAATAATGCAGAGGGGAATCAGTTGCACGGAGAAGGGAGAACGGTGAAGACATGAACAAATGTAATCCGTCAATGTTACAGGGTACAAGTTCCGCACAAGTGCGGGGGCCTTCGTAAAAGCCGGGGAGACGGGGGACGGGCTTCCAGGGGCAGGGCCAGGACAGACTCGGTCGCGGTCCGAATTGGAGTCCATGTGCCACTTTGAACACGTCTAAATTCTGCCAACGTCTGCCAATGCCTGGGTTGGCTTGGCTTTGCTGGTGGATTCCACAGGACCAGCCCTGGCCTCTGGAAGTTCTGAATCATCCCGATGCATGTGAGGTGAGGTGGTGGTTAGTGGTCCTGGTTGATTCTACATGGCGGCGGGCCGCTGCAATGGTAGGGGTCGGCTGTGGGAGCTGGGGCAGCTGTGGGGAATGGCAATGGGTGGAATTTTACCGTAGCGGCAGTCGCGGGAGGGCGGAAGCACGTGAAAGCACGTCACGTACCAGACCGAGGACAGAATCCGAGGGACGCATCTCCATTGCCTCATTTAATTATTGATCGACGCATGGTTGGCGGTTGGATCGGCGGTTGGGTCAAGAAGGTTGGCGGTTGGCGGTTGGCGGCCGCAGGTATGGGTCAATTGCCCTCCCGCCCGTCGAAGCCCATTCGATGTGGGCCCATCGCATCGCGGCGATCACCATCGAGACGCGGACCACCATCGAGACGGCGGATGGCGGGATCGCGAAGGGAGCGTTGGTGCCCGGGGCGCTGATGGTGCCGGCGGCGGCGTTGGCGGCGGGGACGCTCGGCAGATTTTGAACCGGAGCAGCGGGCCCCTCACGTGAGTGTGTTAGCAACCTTAGGGGCCGGACGCTGTCTGTATTGGATTAATCATGCATGACGGAAAGAGCAGCTTGCGGATCGCGAAACGACTGTTGACCCCAAGGATGATATGTGATATGACATATATGACGAGGAAAGGAAGGTAAGATCAAAGACAGGTGTGCAAGTTGAACACATTCGACATGGATCTCAGCTAGCAATGACAATCGGTGAGTATGTAGGGGCCCATGTGATGATAGTAGTATCCGCTATTACAGCTACAGCTATATAGCTAGCAGGGGCTAGAGGCCTGTTCAACTGATACTCCCAGGCTGGGCTGTGTGTTTTGCGAGAGGAGGGCAGCCACGTGGTGTTGAGGGGGGAAGGACGGGCACCCGGTGATGGGGGGGGGACCGAAGGGGACGGCAGGGGGCAGAGAGCGGGCTTCGCGGCTGAGGGTTCTGTACGGCAGAGTCCCTTCTTTCCTGAGATGATTTGTGACGATCTCCTGCTCACAGTGCCCTGCGCTATTGTATCTAAGGTTTGCTAAGCGTGTCTTCGAAGTGCACTTGGCGGCTACGTGTCCTAGGAAGTGCGTTTATTTGTGTTTAAGCGTGGGTCACGTCATGCCGTTTGCCTGTATGTTTGTCATATCTCAATGGGAGTTCAGGCGCCGCATTCCCCGTGTCAGCGCGCCCGCAACGGCGGGTGCGGCGTCCGTTCGGCTTTTTGGGGCCCTACACACCGGCAGTGGCGGCGAAGGCAGTGGAGGCGGCGGCGCGCATTCGCCCGTCACGCCTGTCGGCCGTGCAGGCTCGGGGATGGCCGTACCGCCACCGTCCCAAACGGGAAGCCCTGTGATTGACGGCAGTACAGCAGCCGCTGTACACGCTTTACCCCAGCTGAGCCGTGCCATGCTGCACAGCCTCACCGCTTCATGGCGCTTTCCGCTTCGCTGGGGTGGCAGCGGCGGCGGCGCATTGTCGTCCCGTACGGCAGCGGACGAGGCGACCGTTCAACTTGTTCAGCGGGAGCGCATGTCCGTCAGCACACAGCCTGCAATGTTACGGATGTCGTACTGCGATGGAGCCAGCGGTGCGACGCCTTTCGCGTACGGCGGCAGCGCGCATGGAAACATATGTACGGAAATGGAATCGTCCACTCGTGGGCTGTACGTGCGTATGGCCAGCGCGGCAAATGACGACCGGCCGCTGGCCCCTACAAGGACTCGTCGGCAATACCGGTCCATCTTTGCTACGTACTCTGATAGCCTGCATGTAAGTGCGACAGTACGGACAGTACGGCAGTGCGGTATAATGCAGGTCGAGGGCCATGAGTCTTATTACCACCCCGGGGATCTATGAGCGCGTTCCGCAGGGCCTCCAACCCTTGTAAGGGGGGAGAGAGAGAACCAATAAGATCCAGTTCATCTGCCGTCTAAGCTTGTTCGTGGGATTGGGGACCGTGAGCGCGGACACATCCGTATGGGAAGCGGTAACAATGTAAGGGCCCCGTTCGGCGTTGGAGCATTGTTGACAATGCTACCAATCTCTTTCAAAGTGCACCAGCAACGATAGCAAGTTGTGCGGCAACGCTTTAACACGCGTCAGGAAAGCGGGGGAGGAAAAGGCTGAGTGGCTCACTGAGGAAACGGAGGGTGATTGGGATCTGGGCTGGTTTTATGCGTAAGGCTGGCATTGAATAAAATCTACCAACCATAACAGACGATGCACAGTTGTATATCTTAATTTACCTTAGTTTAAAATCCGACTTCGTGAGTGTATATTTGTGAGGGCCCGCCGGGGGCTCAACGGCCAGCCGAACGCGATCCGAAATAAACAGTTTCTTTAATACAATGCACAAAGGCCATTATCCTATCGCTCGAAAAGTAATGGGATTTGGTAAGTGCACCATGCTGGCCGAGTACGAAATCCAGAGACTGTGTTCGGGGTTCGGGCGGCACAGTTTCATCACCCTCCGCTTTTACTGCCTACCTGTATCGCACACCTTTCACGGCAGCTGTGGGCACTGGCTAACAGGAGAGAGTCCTAATTAAGCACACCCTGTGTGCCATGCCAATGCGCGCAGGACGCCCAATCAGGCAACTCCCCGAAGCTCCAGCTCTCACAGAGGCAGCCGTTCCCGGGGTCCACTGAGGGACCGCCGCCGGCGGGAATCAGGCTATGTGCTCGATCTGAAGGCGTCGGAGGCCTCAGCGGCATGTCGTCATTCGAATCCCGAAGGCTGTTCCCTGCCGGAGGTAACAACTTCACGAGCGGTTCACGGCCCTCCCTGGACGCAACGCCCGCTGGTGGGAGAGAATCAGGGGATTGGGGACCAGCCAGCAGTGTACAACGGGACGTTGTAGGGCGGGGAAAGTGGGTGGCGTGGCTGGTTTGAAGGGAGCAGCAGCAGCAGTAGGGGAGTGTACCTCTGAAGCCTTGAACACCTGAACATGATGACTCGGCGTTTTCCCGATCATGCTACGGCGAGGAAGGAGGGCTGTCTTTTAGCAACCCCGTGGCTTGTCGGCCGAGTCTTATGGGATCGCCAATGTCCCCCATGCACAGACAAAGGGTTGTTCCTATTCGCTATGAGATCTCTTTAACAAGCCTCAATGAGAACCTGTCCCCGATCTACTACTGGGTGCCGTGCTACGCCTACTGAGGGGAAAACCGTAGGATGCAATCTGGGTGAAAATTGTTTTTGCTTTGTTTTTGTTTTTGCATGTGCTACACAGAGCCTGCACGTATCAAAAGTTTAAACCAGCCTAAGTCCTTGACTTAATCCTCCCGCAGGCAGTCGGCTAGGTGCAGTGGCCAGCACTGGTGCACTACTGGGCAGGTCCCCGCTTGCTGCCTCTCACGACTATCACCACAAAAGCATCAAGCCCGCCTCCACGAACAGCAGCCTCCGAATCCGCCGCCCTGTGGGCTACACCCTGCGGTCATCTTCCGACGCACACATCGCGCTGCCACCTCTGGACGGTCATCTTAATGAGCAGTCCAGGGTCGCAGATTCGAAGATCACGACCGCCGATTGCAACGGAGGATCCAACGCGGCGGTGACTGAGGCCATCGGCGGTGGCGGCGGCCGTGGTGGGGGATCTGAAGGCACCACCGCCGCCGCCGCTGCTCCGGAATTCAGTGCTGTTTTGCGAGAGAGTGACATCAACGGAGCCGATGGTGGCCGGGGAACGAGCTGCACGTGTGATGCCGATGGTAGCGGCAATTTTGGCAAGATCCTCATCGCGGCGGTGGCAGCGGCAGAGGCGGCGTCCAAATCTGCTGGCTGCGAAGAACATGCGCCTCCGAAGAGAGACACGGCGGCAGCGGCGTCCTTGGCGACGGCGACGATGGTCGCATCGCCGGCGGATTCCCCAGTCCTCAAAGCAACCTCGGGCGCCGTATGCGGCTTAGCAACGGGAAGTCGGCAGCAGGATGAGGAGCACGAAGACGTGGGCTTCTTGCCTTTGCCGCCGCAGCAAATGCAACAGCAGGAGCATAAGCAGCAACGAAACCAGCAAGAAGTCTCGCCGCGGCCGCCACCGCCGCCGCTGGCTGCTGCTTCTGGAACAGCTGAAGCGGCTCTGGACTCAGTGGACACGGTGGACACACTGGTGGTGCCTAGGAGACCCGGCCAGTCTGCCGCCGTCGCTACAGGGGAAGCCACGAAATCAATCTACCGTGGGACTACTGGGCCATTGAACGACAACCCGAAGTACGATCATGTACGGCAATGGATGAATAATAGCCGAAAAGCAGCTGCAGGAGTAGCAGTCGAGGCCGCCAGCACAGCTACCATCGCTGCCGCAGGCTCGGTGGCTGCAGCGGTGGCGAGGTTGGAGGCCGGCCGTGGAGGTAGGGGTCTGGTCATTGGGGTTCGCTGCTCGCTGGTAGTTGGCTGGTTAAATGCTGATGGTGGTTGGATAGGTGGAATGGGAAATAGGCAGAAGCGATTCGGAGTTTTATATGTAGGCAGGGAAGGTGGAGTTGCAGGTGCAGGTGCAGGGGCACCCTGCCCTTGTAGTGTGGGAGTGTGGGGGGGGCCACTTCAACTACACGTCCGTCAGCAACTGCCGGTCCACAGGGATGGCTAGATGTCTAGGCACCCCCTCTTCAAGAGGGAAAATTAATGAAGGCGAAGGCCATTTTTTCACCTAAGCTAGTAATTTTCCCTTTCCCGAGACCAAATTCCTTGTGCGAGATGGTCGACATTCAGAACACCGTGAGGCTGTACCAACACACGTAGGCACGTCGGGGGTTTCCCGGTGCTGCTCGTGTCGGTTTTTTGGGTGAAGACATCACTTCCCTAACCGACCCGGCAAGTCATCATCAGTGTTGATTGCGCCGGCGCTGGCCGATTGCAGCACACGCCCCACTTTGCCGGATCCTGTCGAGATCTTTTGGGCTATTCGCGTGGCGCCGTGATGGGGTGGGGGGGCCTATTTAGGACCTTTCTCGGCCCTTCCGCGGTTAAGGGGGGGGGGCACCAGCATCGCAAGCAACCTCGCTGACTGACCGCTCTTCCGGCGCGTCCCCAGGTCTCCTATACTTGAACCGCTGTCTTTCCGTTTTAACCTGTAATTTTTGCTGTTGATTTCCTAATTCTTTGCTTAGGCACTTCCTCCTTGGGTGGTCGAAGGCGCCAAAGCATGCTCGAGCCTGATCAGGCACTACACATGCGGCGAAAGACCTCGGTGGCAATGACAGCGGGAGTGGGCTGCAGCGCCGCCCGGAAGTCATCCGAGGCGGAGGTGGTGGACACGGTACCGCTATCGGGCTCCATAACGCCGCAAGCCGCCGCATCGTACGATGGGGGCCTTCGGCGCTCAGTTGGCTTGAAACCGGTGGGTGCTGTGCATGGTGGCTTCCTAGGGATCTCTAGGCTTTTTCTCTTATCTTGTCGTCGCTGTCACCGCTGCTGCCTGTGCCTTCGCCCGTTGTCATTTCTTTGTGCCCGGTCCCCTCCTTGTTGGTTGTGGTGCCTGCCTGTAGTAGAGCAGTAGTAACACCACCACTACCATCAGCACCATCAACACCATCAACACCATCAACACCATCTCCCATCGACTGGGTGTAGAGGGTAGGAAAGGCTCCTAGCTAGCGGCCTCCATTCATAACTCAGCGTCGTGGCAAAGCCGCATGTATACTGTAACCCCACACTTCCCTGATTCCGACTTCGCGTTTACAGCTGGATGGAAGATCGGAATGGGCTTCGGATCGTTATGAAAATGGCAACGCGGACCTTTGCAACCTGGTAGGGGCCTTGATGGTGGGTCCATGAAGGCTTCCTGGCGCATCGCGTGCTGTATAGTGCTTTCGCGTGTGGGTTGTGTGTGTACGTGGTCTACCATTGCATCGTCTCGTGGGACGTGTGTGTCTTGTGCCTCTTACCTACTGGGTTTATCATCCGCGCCCCCTTAATACATGCCTTAGTTTAGGCTGAGGCGTATTATTAATACTACTGGTGCCGTACAGTGTCGTCGCGAGTGTGATTCGGGGCTTCAACGCCGCGTCCGTAGGTGCAAGGAGTCCTCCAGCCTCTTCATCCGCCTTGCTGCCGCGGCGCCCTGCCTGCGCCCGAAGAACACGCATCCATGGCATATACCTTACTGCGTCAGCACATGCAGATATCTCGCCTGGGATGAGCTGCCGTGCCGTGGGATCAGCGGTGCAATGCCTGAAGACTTCCGAAACCATACAAGCACACTGAACCATCGCAACCCCCACCGCAACCCCAACCCCAACCGCCTTTAAAGTCGCAGCCGCAGAACCGCTTCAGGATCTCCTTCAGCCCCTTGCCCGTGCGAACTAGAGGCGGCGGACAAAGGCACTCCTCCCTTGGCAGTGTTGGCGGCGGTCATGGTGGCGGCGGCGGCGGCGGTGCCGGCTGTCCCGGCCAGCTCCGCCACTACTCTCTCGGCGGTGGCGGCGGCGGCATTCCGAGCTGCGGCCCGACGGTGAATCCCCCGGTCACCGGGAGCGGACTCCGGTCCCCTGGCAACGCCGTCGGAGGCAGCAGTGACGGCGCTGGCGGTCCGTTGTACGGAGACTGCGAGCCACTGCAGCGGAGCTCTACCGTGTCAAACAGCGACCACTTGGATCTTGCACGGTACGGCCACGCACGCCTCAATGCCACATGCCCTCCATCTGTGCCCCCCTGGTGTCTCAGATACTGCACCTCAGGCCTGTGGGTGACTGTGTGATGCGTTGGATGGGCTTCCGGCGATCTAATTAAAGTGTTATGCTTCCGGTTAAGGAGTAGAGGCTGAACCCCGTGATTGCTCTTATCTGCGTGTTAATCCCCTGCTCTGCGGATGCGCGCGCGCCAGCAGCTCACGGAGTTCATCGATTTGCTAAAAGTGCACGATGGAGGACATGTAAATAGTACGCGGGGTTTGAATGTCGGCTTACCGTATTTTATCCACGTCAGCAACGGAAAGCGCATACCGGCACGATCACCATCCAGTCCCCTCTGTTCCGTTGACGGGTCTTGACGGGTTATCCACGTTAACCACCTCTACCCTCTCGCCGCATGCAAGTAGGTTTTTCAGTCTGTCTGCGTGGGTCCAGGCCGCTGGAGGCCGAAACAGCGCCGGCAGCCGCCCGTCGGGACCGTTGGACACGACAACAACCGACATAGCCACTGCGGCCGCGGTTCTTCGTGCCCGTGTGCGCCGCAGCAGCGGGGGCATTCCTTCGCCCCAACCCATACAAGAGCAAGTTGAGACCGAGGTTGAGGCCGAGGCCGTTCGCCCGAGGGTTCCCCTCAAGCCTCACCTTCATAGCGCCAGCAGCTCCCATCGACCCCCCCAAGCAGCGGCAGCAGCAGCAGCAGCAGCATATTCCACTGAAGGAACTCCAGCAGGGGACTCCGGCGCCGTCCGGAAACGCATCCCCGACACAGAGATTGCGGATAAACCACCAGCAATAGCAGACGGTGCAGGGTCAGGAGAGGCCGCAGAAGCCGCCGGCGTAGCGGCGGCGGCATTCATGGCCGTAGCGACAGCAGCGGCGGTGGCGGAGGCTACGAAACGACTTTCCGTACTGGTTGGACCCAACCAAAAAGCGCCTAGCACTTACAGGACGTCGCGTGCTGTCAGCGAGGAAGGACAATGCGATGGTGAAGGCGGAGGTGAAAGCAGGCGCGGCAGTGGCGGCGGAGTTGGCGTTGACGGCTGCAGCGACGGTGACAATAACGGTGACGATGATGTACGCGGCATGCATCAAAACCAGGACAAGCAGCCGCAGCCGCTGCAAGAATGTCCGCAGCATCTAAACAACTTCCGTCGTCAGTTGTCGGCAATACCGGCAGTTGGGAGCCCGTTAGGCACGTCGTACGGCAGCACAACGGCAGCGGCGATCATTGCTACACTGCCAGAGGGCCTTATGGCAAGTGAGCCACTGGCAATGCTGCTGGCTTCGGAGCCGGTCGTGGCCGACGGCGGGGTGAGAATCGTACGCAGAGGCGTCGCTCCCGCCGTTGGCGCTACCAACGGCAGCCACCCGAACGGCCTCGCCGCAGGGTCCTATGACATCTCCAATGGCGACAAAGATAGCACTAGTAGCACCAGCGACGCTGAGGCCATGGGTGCCGCCGCAGCAAGAGGCAGGACCGGAGGTGCCGGTGGCGGCGGCACTGGCGCCGTTGGAGCCTTAGCCGCTGAAGCTAGGGAGACGGGCGTGGTAGTGGACAGCGCACCATTGCCTAATTTGGATCCCACATTGGGCGGCGCCTTCAGACGGCCTTCGCTGCTGCACTACTGCTGGCCGAGATCCATGCAGTCACTGACAGCCGTACAGCGCCCTGGCAGCGGCGGTGATGACGGCGTCGGTGGTGTCGAAATCGGCGACGAGCATGACGATGACTCGCGGCAAATCCCGTCCACCTTTGGCGCCTCAGCGGAGGCGGCGGTAACGATTTTAGGTAGCGGCAGCCGCAGACATTACCGTACGGTTGGAGTCAGCTGCGGGGGTATACCTGGCGGCAGGGATGTAACAGGTCTCAACAACCTTCTAGGAGAATCATGCATTTTCGTTGGCGATGGCGATGGCGATGGCGATGGCGATGGCGATGGCGATGGCGATGGCGATGGCGATGGCGATGGCGATGGCGATGGCGATGGCGATGGCGATGGCGATGGCGATGGCGCCGGCGGCAGCAATGAAGGGTCACGGCCGGATCTCCGTGGCGGCATGGCACCTCCCTGCCATCGCCCCTCCCAATCCGTCGCCTTCGGGTCCACATCGGGCTCCATCTCTGCTGGAACCATGTCGGACATTGCCCCGCCACCGCACCTCTGTCGTACACCCTTGGCACAACGGGGGGCGCTCGATGAGTCCTTAGCAGGCCCAGAGCCTGCGGCCGCGGCAGCAGCGACGGCGGCGTTGATGGCAGGACGCGAGAGACCCGCCGTTACCCCTTCGTTTCCGGTATCTATGAAGTCGCGGCCGCCGACGCTACCGACGCCCGCGAGCGTGTTGATGGCGGCAATCGCGGCGGAAGCTGCCTCATTGCGTGAGCTGGCCAGCCGCGGCGGCAATACGCGTGGGTACGGCAGTCACGGTGAAAGCGGTTCGCAGATGTGCGACAGTTCTACCGGCAGTCGTGCTGGCAGTGCCGTGCTTAGCTGCAAGGGCAGCACACAGGAGTACGACAGGTACAACAGTGGCGTCAGCACAACAGGTGGTGGCGGCGGCGTTGCAGTTGCTGCATCCCCATCGCATGCCCTGCAGTTGGCATGTCATGACGTCGGGTTTCATTCATCTGGTACCGGCGGGCGGGCGATGTGCGTGTACGATCCCGCACTACAAGGCCCTAACCACCAACTACCACAAGGGCATGGCGGCAACCGCGTTCTGAACCTTCACAATCATTCCTCCCGACACGGCGGCGGTGACCCCCAAGGAAATCACCTTGAACAGCATAACCAGCAACGACTTAGGGACCCGTACGGCAGCATGGTGCGCGCCCGAGCCATGTCAGCACCCGGGGTCCCGGAGCGGGGAATTGGTGCTGACGCCGGGGCTGGTGCCGCCGCCGCCGCTACCTTCGCCAGCCGCTTTATGCTTGCAAGTGCGAGTGCGAATGCAGGCATATTTGCGCGAAAAGTGCCATCGATGGCGGCTTCGCAGTTCCCCTCTCGGCGCTCCATAGACGAGACGGCCGCTGCTGCAACACCGCCAGGGCAGCAGGTACGGAAAAGGAACATTGTCCTGTACGATAGCTCGGTGCTGTCAAACGCTGTAGGAACCACGATAAAGAAAGGTGTGATCAGCGAACATCATCCGTGGAGTATACTTTGGTGTTGAATCTCTCTCCGCTCCGCTCCTGAATGACCGTCCCTACCCGCTATATACACCTGCTACCTTGAATCCGCCTGGACGTGTGTTTACACCTCGCGACGTGTGTTTACACCGGCCGTTAGGTTCCTGTCGAGCCGATGCTGAACCCCCGCAACCCCGCAGGGGCAGAAGGCCCTTCCCCCCGTCGTTGCTCGGGGCCGCCTCGCCCGGCCGATGGACCTGCTCCGCCAGGTGAGTATGTGAGAGGACGGACCCGTGGGTCCCTTGTGGCAAGTGCCTCATGATGGGAAGCCAGGCCTCAGATTCCTAAAGGGACTCAGGGACGCACAGGCGATTTTTGGGTTCTGCTTGATCAAGCAAGAAGGGCCAACCACCTGGGCCGCTTGCACAAACGATCAACGCACCTTCGGAGTACGCAGAAATCATTTCATGACACCAAGACGTTCAATCATCATCTGCTCTCGTCAGTTAAAAAAAATAAATTAAAGACCTCAGTTGCGAGATGGGTGGAGGGGGGAATTACGGCTAGTGTACTGGGGGGTGAGAGTATGATGATGCTTCCTTCAGGGCCATCCGTTCGCGACTCAAGCTGCTTTACACGGGACAAGCTAAGACCGTACATCCGCAGCGTGCGTATACAGCGTGCGTTACTGCAACTGCATAACGCCTAAGAAACACCTGGTAAACCGTCTTCATCATCGCTTTCGTAGGTATCGAAAAAGATTATGCTAGAGCGACTCTCACGTGGACTCCACAGCGCAGCTGGGGTGCAAAGTGTAAACGCCGCCGGCGGCGGCTGCGGCAGCGGACCCGCCTCTGCCGCTACCTCCACTGACGAGATGCCAACCGCGGCCAGTATTACTTCCCCGCCTGGGAAGGAGGCGGCGATCACTTGCTCAGAAGTCACATCCGAGTCTGGCAGCGGCAGCCAGAGGACATCCCTTGCCGCCCCCATCCGTCCGGCAGCCGGTGTCGATGGCACCACCACCGCCGCTGGTGCAGCTTCCGGAGATCCCCATGACGCGGCACATCGGTCCTCGACCGCTGCTGGCGCGCGGCAGACCGAGCGCATTCACGCAGCGGCTCGCATTCTATCTGCCCCCGATGTGGCGTACTACCAGTCAGGGGATGTTGGTGTCCCCGGCGGTCATGGTGGCGACAGCGGTGACGGCGGCGCCGGGAGCCAACCCGTACGGCATTGGACTGCCGGACACGCGTCGCCATCCGCCCCCGCTCCCCTTCGTGAGGGGCCGTATCTCTCAAGAACCCTCATGGACAGCCCGTCACCATCACCTGTGTCGCTGCCATCGACACTGCCGTCACCGCTGATGCAGCTGCTGATGCCGGCGAACACGGCAATGTCGTACGGATCTTCGGCGCCGTCACAGTCGGCGACCAGCGGCGGGTTAAAAAGCGTTGACGGCAGTAGTAGTCAAGACGTGGTCGTCGGAGTCGGGCGGAGAGGCAGCACCGCCGCCGCCACCGTAACGGCTGCTTTTCACACGAGGGGGTGTCAACGTAATCCCCCGTCGTCGCCGACTCAAGTCGCCTTGTGGCCGCCGTACAAGAGCAACAAGTACGATACGGGCTTGGACCGCAGGGAGCCGTACATCGAGCACGCCGCCGAAGCCGTCGGAGTTGTCAGCAGCCGTGCCGCAGGCGGCCTGTCAGGCATGCCGTCGCCGTACACAACATCATGCAATCCGCCACGCTATCTCGAGCTCGGCCAGGACGTGTCTGTTCGCGGCAATTCCAACCACCTCGCCATCGCTGCGGTATCCGCTTCTGCCGTGGACAGGCCGTCTGTCTCATCACATCAAGCCGCCAGTGGAGATGCTAGCGTGCCGCTTTTCTTGACCGCCGCCAGCGGCAGTGCGATAGCGGACTACGGCAGCGGCAGCGTCCCCGTCGCCAGTGCTTACAGCTTGCACAGCACCGCGCCAGTGCAGATGGCGGCCGAGCCGCGAGTTGCCAACCCCGCCTCCGGCGGCGGCGGCGGCGCCGCCGCCGGTCCCGCCGACAGTGCCGCATGGCAGCGCAAAACCTGGGGTGACCTTCTGCGGGAGCTGTTCCCGGTTACCGGCGCGGCCGCCATCACAGCTCATGCGGCGTCTTCACCGGCCGGCAGACTGCACAACATTCTGACGTTTGGCGGTCACCACAACGGCAGCCTGCAGGGCAGCATCTTCAGTGGCTTATACGGCAGCGGCAGCGGCGCATCCGCAGCCGCCGGTCCCTTTGGTGGCATGAGCCCCGGGGGGCTCCCCGCCATCTCCGCTCACCTACCTGCTGGTGGTGGCGGCGGTGGGAGCACCCATGGTGGCGGCCGCCGTGTTCGCACCTCCCGCTTCCTGGCCGGCAACGTCGTGGCTGGTGGCCCGGCCCTGGCGTTCCGCGGCCTGCGCGTGCGGATGGGGCTCCACACAGGTCAGTGTAAGGGACCCATGGGTCGGTCATATTTCCAAGTCGTGTGCAAAGGGTCGGTTGATCGGCTGTGGCCCGTAGGTCGATTCTCTCGGTGCCCTCAACACAAACCGACGTGCAATTCGTGACTCCAGAGACGGTTTGGTGGTCAGGCATGCGTAAATCTTAGTCCAGGTGTGTGTAAACTTCCGCACGGACTTAGGTGTTTAAATTCCGTACTTGCAACGCTGCCCGATACGAGCGGGCTGGGGGCTCAAGGGCTTCCCAAGGACTGCCGAAAGGCACTTGGTGTAGGACTGCATAATGGAAAAAACTAGAAAAGGAACATGGCGAGGGGAACGGAAAGAAGAGGATCCAAGCCAGCGCCCCATGGGACCAAACGTTGACTGGCAAGTTAGCGTCCTAACTTGTACGGATACGGAAGATCGAGTTTCCTCGAGGCCAGATGCGCAAATATTCCAGCAAGGAGCTCGGAATATCAACCCTTTTCTCCAGTCATGCCGTTAAATTGTACATTATAAGCCTGCTTTGTCCCGTATCCGTTCGTACGCCGGGCACCCCTAACAACATATGCTTCACCCCTTCTCGTCTCAAGTGCTCATTGCGCTCCAGGGCGGGTCCTTGGGGCTCCGAAACCCTGAGGGCCGTGAGGCGGGGTCTGGGACTGGGGAGTATATTCTTTGCTCCTTTGAGGCCGCCAAGCTTCCAACGTTAACTGCCCAACAGATTAACTAAGTCATTTGTCTGTGTCCGCTGATTTTCCCAACCCAAACCAACCGATCTGGTCCACGTTGGTTCACGGTGCCCGCCGACCAGGCATCACCAACGCCGCGGACTGTGCCTTCAACCCCACCACCGGCGCCGTGTCATACACAGGGGACACGCTCAAGATTGCAAAGGCGGTGAGGAAAATATATTGACGCCGTACGCTGTTGCCGTACAGTTTTACATGGGCCATCTAACCAGTCTGAAACGTTTGGAGGCTGCCGACGTCCTCCTCTCCCTCTCGTGTACTGGTACACGATATACTTATTGCATTTACAGTATGCTTTTGTTGTGTGGATTGATATAATCCTCACTGCGCTTTGGAACTGCTGGGACCACAACATTTTCCATATTCTTCTATCCCTCCATCTCGTCATTTTCCGTCAACACCCCCATCCCGTCATCTTGGATCCATGACGGCGCCGGGACGCCGTCGTCGCAACACATGGGCCTTACTGTACTGCGTTGCATTGCTGGCGTCACCCCCCGGTACACCCTCCCCCCCATGCCCCTGCCCCCTTCATTCGGCACCCTAGGTCTCGGACGCCGCGGCCGGCGCCATGATCCTTGCCTCCGAGCGCACGCTCCACCAGCTGCTGCCTATCCTGCAACTTCTGGACTCACGAGCCCCCATGGCCATTTACTGTGGAGATGTTGAGCTGGAGGCCCTCGCCAACACAGCTGATGGTGGGGTCTCCGCCGCTGCAGTGACGGCCCTGGCCGGCGGAGTGAGCGCCGCCAACAGGATCTTCGGCGCTGCCGAACCTTCCACGCATTCCAGCAAAGTCGGCGGCGGCGCACTGACCCCCTCAACACGGCATATGTCGTACGAGCCGTACGCGGCAGCCGCAGCTCTTCATCCTAATGACGCCAGTGTACACGTCGGGAGTGCTTGGGGCGGCCGTAATGCCGCGGCAGCAGCAGCAGCAGCCCCGCCAATGTCGATACTACCTGCTGTAGCGCGGCGTGGTTTGGCGCTGTATCAGCTGGTTGGATATCGGCTCAGGCAGAGGCTCCCTCATTTGGCGCCGCTGCGAGGGGTCACGTATCTGCAGGTACCGTGGCAAAACACCCACAAGGGTTTTGAACACGCAACACGACGGGTAGTCGCGGGGCTGGTAATACACGGGCCGATTGCGGATTGTTTTTAAGCTCTGCGAAATCTAGTCTGGAGGTCTTGTTGGGGCTTGGCGCGCTTAGGGAAAGATGCGCTGTGGCCTTGTGGTCTTGCTGCTGTGTGCTTGCTTGGGTGCGGTGCATTAACAGCTGCATCTGATTTCCAGTTCAGACCTGCATTGACCGCCTTGCCCCCCAGACACCGCGCATATCTCGCCTGCACAGAAACACCCAACGCTCATCCCATCTCTCTTGCGGCCCGGTTTATGTAACCACAGTAGACGCAACGACACTTTCCTTCCTTCCACAATATACGCACCTATCCGCAACTCATGGCGGGGTGCCCCTCGGCTCCCTCACCACCCAAACCGCACCTTCTGTAAACCACGCCCTGCCGTGCTCCCTCAACCGCAACCATGCCTGCTATGCTGTACGGGCAACTGCCGTATACTGTCCAGTACGGCAATATGGACGCCCCCGTGGGCCGCAATGTCTCCATCACCTTCTTGACGGTACCCGCAGCTCAGGTGGGACGGAACCGGGGCCGAGTACGGCATGTAAGGGGGCCAGTGCTGGTTGGAGATTTGGTGCTCTGAGTACCTTTAGATTGCATTGCAGGATAGTGCGTCCTAACATTTACGCATTAATGCTTTTAATATTTTCCTCCTTCGCCGTACTTAAGGTTTTTTGGAGTGGTACGGGCGTCCTAGAAGGAGGGTGCCGGATCAACCCAGCGAAAGGGGGCCATGATCAAGCCATAGCCCCCTGCAACCTGAATCATGTCCTGCCTTGCCTGCATACATGCACACGCGAAATTGTAGACATTAGTTTCGGAGCTGGAGGACGTCGGCAGTCGTGCACTGGCGCTGGTCAAGGCCACAGTTGTACGGCTGTGTGCTGCCCGGGGCGGCTACGTCATTGAGGCGGCAGAGGGGCTTTGCCTGGTGGCTTTCCATGACCCCGTCACCGCCGCGTCGTGGGCTTTGGACTGCGTGGAAGCACTCCACCGCCTGGTGGGTGGGGTGTGGGTGGGGGTCTGCCTGTGTGGTTATGCGGGTGGTGGCGGTCGGAGTCAGGCGGGAAACCGGAGGGCAGGATACTGTTACGGAGCAACGTAACGCAACGTTTGGCCGACATGCGGCCAACCGCCGGACCTCGTTGCGACTGCTGGCCTCCGGACAAGCCGGCCGAGGGTCAACTAGAGGTGGACAGACGAATGCGCGTTGAGTGGTAGTTCTTCTTAGGGTTTTAGTTGGCGTGGGTTGGGGATCGGGGTGGGGTGGAGGGGCCTGCGTGGCGGAATTTGTGCGAGGCCGTAATACTGCTGCTGCTGCTACTGCGCGTATCGCTAATCTCGCTGTTACTTACTGACTGATAAAACGCGGGTGCTGGGAATGCTGCTAATGCGTCCACACCGCTCCCCTCAACCCGCATCGTCATCCCCGGCTCCACCGCCGCTTCCCGCCGTCCGGTGGCTGCAGGATTGGCCCTCCGCGGTGCTCCACCACCCCCAGTGCTGTGAGATGTACGACCCCACGTCACCCTCCGGGGCTGCTACGGCAGAGGCGCCTGGACTGGCCAGTCCGACGCTTCTTGAGTCGATGACCGCACAAGACACCGACATTCAGACAACTGGTGGTGGGCATGGTCGGATATTAAACGTAGCTGGGGCAACCCTTGGCGGTGGCGGTGGCGGTGGCGGTGGCGGCGGTGTGCACCCTTCACCGCGGCGACTGTTGCATCGGGGGCCCCGGATCAGGGCGGGGCTGCACGTGGGTGAGGTCACGTGCGACGTACACGTCAGCACTGGCCGGCTGTCGTACCGCGGCCGCGTCATGAATCGCGCGGCCAGGATAGCGTATAAGGCCCACGACGGTCAGGTGAGGATGCGGGGGGCCTTATGAGGGGCCTCCTTACGGCTGACGCGCGGTGCATGCATTGGGCGGTGTTGGGCACGCACGCGCGCAATATCCCCCCCTCCGCATATACGGGGAGCCAGCGGACGGAGTTCGGCTTTCACCTATCCGCCACAGTCGCCAGCGATTTGCCCTTCGTGGCAAAGTGAGAGCTGCGATAAATGTGACGCATTAGGGCCAGGGGCTTTGCCGCGATAATGCCGCTAACGTCGAAGGTGACGAACGCCTGCCCCGGTTCTTATCGACTTTAACTTCATGGTAGGCGCACTGCTGCTGCTGCTGTTTCTCAATTCAACCTCTGCCCGCAACACAACCGAGCATTAGTACATTAGGGCTGGCGCGACGAGGGTCCCCTGGTGCTGAGATGTGAACTTGTGGACTGTGCCGTACGACAGGTACTATGCAGTCGTACTGCTTGGAGTGTCATCCAGAGCATGCTGCCCCCCGGTACGGCACTGGAGGTGGAGCGACAGCAGCACGACAGCGGCGCCACTGCCACAACCTTGAATTACGGCCGTGGCCGCTTCAGTAATTATGGCGGCGGAGCCGTGGCTGGCTGGGCAAATAGTGTACGGCTATTTTTCAACGCCGGCACAGCCGCCACTGCAGGCAGCGGCCGCGGCGGCGGCGGTGCCGCCGTCACTGCCGCCATTGGGCAGCATGCGCAATCTAGCGGTGTTGACGAATTTCCAGCATACGGCGTTTCTGATTATTTGCAAACACGTACGGCAATGCCGGTGGGCCAAATCGCCGAGGGTGACGCCTGTCTTATTGCCAGCGGCGGTGGCGGCGGCGACTCGCCTGTGACGGGAAGCTTGTCGCCGCCCATACTCCTCGCGCATATGAGCAGCAATGACGGCGCAATATACCGTATGGCCAGCGGCGGAACTGGCGGCGGAACTGGCGGCGGAACTGGCGGCGGCACCTCGATTGCTGTGGCTGGTGCGATGAGCCTCCCGCCGATGCCACGAGGCCAGTCCGCTGCCTTCGGTGCTGGCGGCGGCGGTGGCGGCGGTGACAGGGCCGGCAGTCTGGGACCCGTCAGGCAGCAACCTTCTCCCCCGCGGGGACCCTTGGCGCCGCCGCCGCCAACGGCGCGGCTAGATCTGGGCCACCCACAATGGGCCCACCGCCAGGACGAGCAGCCGTACAAATCCTCCCAGCGGAGCTCTCCACAGCAACAGCCATTGCCGTACACAATGGTGCCGCCATCAGGGCCTATCGCCGCTGCGTCCACATCTGGCGCGGCTCAAGTCGCCAGTAGCTCGCCGCTGCAGCTTCAGCTCCCCTTGGATTATCATCATCATCAGCAGCAGCAGCAGCAGCAGCAGCATACTCCGCCACCATCGCAGCCGCCTCTGCAGCGCTTGGCCTCCCATGATGACGCCGACCTCCCCACTGGTGAGTGCAGAAGGCGCCACAGTGGATGACACCGCACTTTAAAGCTTTAAAGACTTTCCTCCCTCTTCAGGTCTCTTGGGATGGAGGATCACAACCCCTATAGATCCGTACTTCCGTATATTTCCATACTTGTTGTTGGATTGGAATCCCCAGCAAATCCCTAAAACACTAATAATGCTGCCACAATTCTCCCCCGGGGGAGAAATCCGACTCGCCTCCGTCCAGTTATTGCACGGCGTCATCTCCCTCACGAGAACCACGCCGCGACAACATCTTTCTGCGATTACGACATGAACACCCCAGAGGCCGTACACTCCACCCCGTCCAACTCGTGCCCGAATCTCACCGCCACCCAAACCCACCGTAGATTGTGTGCGTAAGTACATATACCCTGAACCCCTTGTGATTCAAACAGAGAAGAAAAAGCTATGATTGCCGTTTGCATGTTCATAACTGACCTCCAGGCCGGTCGAGCACGGGGAATGCCGCCAGCAGGGGCCCCACCCACACCAGCTGCAACACCGGGCTCACGGGGGAAGACGGCGCACCAAACCTGGACAGCCAATGGCGCGCCAATGCTGGAGCCGCTGTCACCGAAGTGATTGACGAGGGCCCTCCGCCCTGGAGTCACAATGTTGCCGCGGCGGATGGAGGACGCCGCCGGCTGCTAACCTCCGACATGGATCTTGGGCCGCTTGCCGCTGCTGCTGCTGCTGCTGGCGGCGGTGGCGGCGGCCGAGGTAAAGGTTTGCACGCGGGCCTGCCGTACATGGGATGGAACGACGGCAGTGGAGGAGCGGCCATGCGAGAGGGCGGCAGCGGCAGCGACTGCAGCGACAGCAGTCCCGGTGGTGACGGTGACGGCGACGGCGACGCTGGCTGCAGGAGCTGTGCGCCTCCACGGCCAATACATGCCTTGAGCCTGGGGTCGTTCCAGCTGAAGGGAATTCCGGAGCTGATGGAGCTGATGGAGCTTCGCTGGGCCCCTTGGGGGCCTTATGGCTGAGAGGTAGCCTGAGGGCTGCATCGAATGGTGGTAGTTATTGGGTTGATGTTTTAATATTGACGGCCTGAGCTGATGGCGGTTGTGAGTTAGAGCATGTGTGTATCGGGCGTCCAAGAACGGATCCGGGAAAACATTTGCACGCACAGCATTCAGCTAGCAAGGTTATAATAGCACATCAGTTTCCTCGCCGAGAGGAACGTATGCACGTATGCGGGTGCATATCGCATGTATCGCGTATGGCGTGGCTCCCGTCGACCGGTGCAACAGCGTGGAGACCCTATTCGGCCGTCACCATGACGTACCATGAGTACGACAGCTGTGGACTGCGGGTTGCCGTACAACGCATGGGGTGCCATCGTGCGAAATGAAGGTTTTCTGAAACTGGCCTAAAGGGCGGTGTATTGGTTAGTTGTATGTATGTATGTATGTATGTATGTGTGTGCGTGCAATACGGCGCACATGTGCTGGTGGGAGCCAGATGGGAGCCAGATTGGTCCGGGTCGTGATCATGGTTTGATTGCATTTCATATATAACAGCATTGCTCTCCTCCTCGGCAGACCGCACGACGAACTTGTGTCGTGTTCACAACAGCGGCAACACCAAACAGCACCGATACATGCACATGTTATATATATACACCCCTCCCTCATTCCTCGGGCCTGCAACCCCAGCTAACCACATACACACGCACTGTACAGAGGGCACATCTGCTGTACATGTCACATACGTAACACACACCGACACACCGGTGCGCATGCACACGCGGTGGCATTTTTCCAAAGAGAATGGGCACGGCGAAATGCCGCGTGAATGTAGGGGCGCGTGTTCGTGCGGTGGGAAATGATGGGGGAATGATCTCCCGATGCAGCAAGAATGCAAGCAGCAGAGGAGGCAGGTAGGCTCTCGCGACGAGGGCTGTGTAAAATATATATGGCGTTTTTATATTGGCGTTTGTCGGTGTTGTCGTTCGTGTCGTTCGTGGGGTTTTAAAGTACCCCGCGAAGGTAGGGTAGGCGGCTTTTCAAGTACGGCTTTTGCTGCAGTGTCTGTCCAAACGGTGATGTGCCGATGATGACCCGCCGTCTGGCGGTTTTAACCATGCCCCCGGCAATAGGGAGACCAATAGGGAGACCAAGACCGTCATTGCAATGATGATCCTATTGTTCTATGGGTTTTGATTAATGGTTGGTTTCTATTGTGAGCGAGTTCCCGGTGCAAGATGATTGGACAGTTGAAAGAGAGCATCGGGCCATAATAACCCAAAAAATGGAAGGCCGTTGCGTACGGCAAGTTGGTTAATAGCATCTTGTGTACGGCTTCGTGAGTTAGTTATCATGACAGACGAGGCCTGGACCAGAAACGCGAATGTGCTAATGGGGACTGTCGTACACTAGCTGTGTGCCATCCTAAACCAATAAACCAACAACTGATATGTTAAATGCCGGTCCAACCCATGAATTAAATGTAAAGAATATGGTGCGATTAGGGTTGTGGAGTGAAGGTGTTGTAGGAAGAAAACGATGTGACTAGCAAATGTGCGGGTGGCTTAGCCGTGGCTAGGGTTTTGGTGGGTTTTGCGTTGTGACGGCTGGTGTGGTCCCGTTGAGGCCTTGTTTCCCTTTTCCTTCGTGGCGCTCTACTGTAACAATCGCTCTTGGAAAGAAAGAATAATCCGACTGACCTTCCTGGAGCCAGTGATCGGCTATGGGTAGGTTTTGCGCTTTCTTTGGCAACTTTACCCACGTAAGCATTCTTTCGGTTACGATGTCCGAAGCAACAATACCACCCATTCCTTGGGTACCTCTGTATGTTTTTTCCTTTTTACAGGGTTGTTAAGCTTCACCAGTGGCCTCCTTCCCGAGGCAATTCCCTGCTCTCCCCTGCTAGAGGGGCACCCTAATCCATTCACCCCATCCGACTTCAGAGTATACTCTTTGAGTTTGGCAACTCACCACCAGCATCCAACCAAATCTAGCGGATCAACTTAGTCTGTCTGTTTGTCCAAACGGCTGCTGTTACTGCGGATGCTCTCACACACCATAAGGAAGCGCCGGTGGTGAGGGATGAGGATGGTGCGGGATGAGTGTGGTGCGGGAAAACAGGACCACCGGTGCCGAAGTGAAAAGCCCTTCCGCAGCGCGGGTTAGCTGAAGCTGAATTATCGTTAGTCAGTTAGTAAAGTTAGCCAGAGGAACTTAGTCCGTGGCCCATTCCCGATGATTTGCAGTGAATGCAGTGTCATGTGCTATTCCAAGCTGGCGTGCTGGCATAAGACCCAGACGAGCCAGGAGGTTCTAAAGCGCGAGGTCTAGGGTAGTCAAGCATTATCAAAGCTCCAACTTTTATCGTTATAGTTGTTTTTTTCCAACATGGTGAACAAGGTTCTCTAGCCAGGAACCACGATCGTGTTATTTTGAGATTGCACTGCAGGACAGGATGGTGGAACTGCAGAAGAACTTCCTGAAGCAGTTGAGTGGTGCTGGCTTGCCAACAAATCGGATACTATTCAGAGAGCTGGGTCAATACCCTTTGCAAGTGCATTGGGCAAACCTGATTTTTCGTTTTTGGAACAGGTTGGTTGAGGCAAAAGGTTCTGTGTACCACCATTGCTTTCGGGAGGAACTGCGGTTGGCATTATCATCTGGCATGACGTATGATGGATGGGGAGCGAAAGTCCTGAAGATCCTTGAGTTGATGGGTCATAACGTACGGACGGGTGTGGACGACTCAGGCGACATTGAGGTCAAAGTTGATGCTCTGGCGACACGTTCACTAGATGTAGGCCAGTTGATCTGTGAACTTCGGAGCCGATTTGACGATGACTGGGAAAGTGAGCGGTTAACAGTGGATCCAGCTTTGTTTGTTTCAGATAATAGGCAACCAGGGGTAAAGATGTGCCGCTATAAGCATTGGATGGGTTTGCCCAAGCATTGCAGCGGCTATATCTCGCCAAAACAGCACGTCACGCTGATGCGTTTCAGGATGTGTGTTTGGCCTTTGGCGGTTAATCGACCGCACGGTAGGGAACGGTCTGCCCGGTGGTGCCGGGTCTGTGGGAACCGGCAAGCTGTTGAAGATGAATGTCATGTGTTGCTAGATTGTCCTGCGTATGCGAGTATTCGTTTGAAGCTTTGGGACCTGGGGGTTACTCCTGGGGACCGCATGATCGAGATTATGGGCGTCAAGGATCAACGCGGGTTAGCGCGCGTCCTGGACGACATTAGAAGATGCAGGTTGCAGTACGTTGAAGATTAATCAATCTGTTACTGTTGGGTATTGGCATTTTTCTTTTTCTTTTTTGAGTTCTTGATTCCAGTTTGGCGGTTCATGAGCCTTTTGGCTCGTCTGGACCGTACAAGCTTGAAGCTTGTAAACGTAAACGGTAAACGGTCTAGCGTGTTTTCAATGTACAACACGTTACAACCACAAAACTGCTTGTTTTTTCAAGTGTTTTACGTAGCTCTTCGTTAAGATTACTTCTGGGCCGAATCGCTAGGTTCTGGATCCTAAATCTTGTGTGGACTTGGTCCAAGTTTTAAGAAATTTACCTTTGTACAGCGTATGTTAAAACAAAATTATAGATGCATACATGGACAGTTTTGGTAGGAAATTTTTCATGTGTCAGCTTGCACCAGCCAGCACAGGAGCACGCAGCAGCTCAGCAGGCAGGACTGCTTGCTTCATCGAACTAGGTGTAGACAGGGCACTTCTTATGCATGGTTAGGCACTTTCCATTACATTTCATTATAGGGTGACCCATCGGTAGGTTAACCCTTCGGTAGGGTAAAGACCGGTAACTCCTCAATTACCCTACCGAGGCCCCACCCTACCGATCGGTTGGGCCCGGTTACCAATCGATAACCCGTCGAATATATGCCATAGGGAAGCGTATGAAAAAAAGTATCTCTAAACCTGCATGTGGGTCAGCCTGGGTGGAAATCCTTATTGCGAAACGCGGCCACAGTTTACGGCCTTATGCCTTTGGGGTCGACGACGAACTCTCCATGGTGATTTTAACGTTGTTTCAAGAGTAAGTGATGCTTGACATACTACTCGGCTAGTAGAACCAGAGCGCACCGGAAGACGAACTCCTCACGCAGAACATCATGAAACACAAACTGCACGCCAAGACGACACTGTTCCAAAAATGGCAAAGAAGTGAGGCCCAATGGAAGCGGAGTGGCCATTGATCGAGCTCCCTAAACAAAGCTTCACAGCATCGCTTCACGGCGCAGTCGGTTGTCAGTTTGGTCCCAACCGCGTCCCAACTTCCCTATGCCGAAACATTTTTGTCCAGGTTCCAATACAAATCTCGAGTTAGGATTTTAGGTGAAGTTTGACACAGTGCCCAAAGCAAAGAATAAACGCATCCAAGTAATGCAACCCAAAACAAGCGCACAAGCACTCAGCCAAAGGCACTCGAGTCATAAGACACAACGACAGCAACTTAAGTCGCTTCATTGCAATTCAATTGCCTCAGTCAGGATCCCAGCACGTCCTTCACTACCACCACCACCACTGCCATGACAACTCATACTCTGACAGTGCCTTGGGGCTGTTATGCGGCTATTATGCACCTACCTACTTAACTGTTTAACTGCTGTCGGCGTATAATTCATGCAAGTCAACACAACGAGATTCGTCCACAACATGCAAACAAGGTGGCATCCGGTAGGCGTCGGGGAGTGTGCAGATCGTTCGATTGGCACACATAACTCGCCTTCGCCGTCAACATTTCACCAATATTTGGTGGAGATAGCGTGACGACACCAACTCGCACGCCGCACGCCGGAGTGCTCTCCCTCTCTCCCTCTCAGCCCAGCAAACACCCCCTCTACCGCGTCCTCACCTGCCTAAACCCCCCTCCCTCACCCCCTTCGCACTTACGTCCTGCGCTCGCCGACCCCAAAGCACGTATTCCGAGCTCGCAGGCCGGCAGCGGCGCCCGCACCACCCACCAGGCTTTAGAGGTCGTATGGAGTTTTACGATCTTTAGTTTGAAACCTCTCCACATCCCGCCTCCAATACCAACCTGGCTAAACATCCCTCACCCGCCGTGCGCTGAACACGATGACAACACGCGCACATAAAGGACACAGAAATGTTGGCACTAGGTGAAACAACACACCCTCACGCCTCCCCACCTGCTTCCCCATCAACCAAAGCCTAAAACCCAAACAGACCCCACCTACGACCCTTACCACTGCCACTGCCGCTGCCAAGGCTGCTTCCCGCACCACCTCCCCCACCTGCGGAGCCACCGGCCGCCGACAACACCCTAGCTGGCGTCCCCATCGAACCCATTTCCAAAACCACCATAGAACCACCACCACCAGCACCGCCGCCAGCCAACCCTGCAGGCGCCGACACAGGCAGTGCGCCACCGGGAACCCCTACACTGCCGCCACCGGCGTCGCCCGCGGTCGCGCCGCCGGCAACGGCGCCACCCCCGCCGATACCTGTCGCTCCATCTCCCGCCGCGATAACAGAGGACCCCAGGGACTTGCCCCGCATCCGGTGAGCGCTGCTGGTGGCGGCGACCGCCGCCGCAGCCCGGCTCGTTGACGTGACGCCGCAAATGCTGATGTCGCCGTCGATGACCGTTCCTGTCGTCGCCGCTGCAGGCTCATCGCCCGCCGCCGACGCCATCGCCTTTCCGCCACCCCCGTCACGTTGTCGTCTGGTCCGCCGACGCGGCTCCTGCTGCTGCTGCTGGTGCTGCTGCCGCTGCCAGTGCAGCGCATCGCCGCCAATACCCTCGGCCTCCCCGTCACCATCCGCCGCTGTTGCAGGACACCCCGGCGGCCGGGGCCCACTGCTCTTACACTGGACCCGTTGTGTGGCGCGGTGCCTGCTATTGCCGCCCCCTCCACCTCCCCCTCCACCTCCCCTGCCGCCTCCGCCAGCCCATGCCGAACCCCCTGCACCCCCTCCTGTCAGCTCAACCCAGCCCGAACCACCAGAGCCCCCCGGGCCTCCGCGAGCCACACCATCGCCATTTGGCTGGGGATGTCGTGACTGGTGATGCTGCTGATGATGCTGCTGATAATAATGATGATGATATTGATGATGATGGCCATGGTGGTGGTGGTGATGGTGCGGCGGTAGCGGCAGTAGCACCGCATGTCGGGAGTGGTAGTTGGCTGTAGCCATGATGAGCAACAACAAGCGGGCGGCGATGATGAGCAGGGAGCCGTACAGGAGCCCCGATAGCCGCAGCTGCCGCCACACATTGCACATCTGCATCAGGTCGCCGCCACATCTGAATACGGGCGGGGTCGGGTGAAGTGAAACGAAGTGAAGTGAGGTGAGGTGAGGTGAGGTGAGGTGAGGTGAGGTGAGGGGTGAGGTGAGGTGAGGGGTGAGGTGAGGTGAGGGGTGAGGTGAGGTGAGGTGAGGTGAAGTGAGGTGAGGTGAGGTGAGGTGAGGTGAGGCGAGGTGAGGTGAGGTGAGGTGAGGTGAGGTGAGGTGAGGTGAGGTGAGGTGAGGGGGCTCTTAACTTCTGGCTTCCGCGGGGATATACAATATACAAATCCGGGGGGCAGAGCCCCCCAGACGAGATCCAAGACGTGACGGAGCTGAACTCGGGGGTTGGGGGCAGGAGCTCAAGTGCAGACAGGCACACGGGCGCACATGTCATGACGTTATGTGTTATGTGTAAGGGACGACCCGGGGACATGACTGCACAAGACGCAGACAGCAAAGAGAGAAAGGGAAAGAGAGAGCGGGGGTTTGGTCTGTGGGTGTGCCGGTGTATGTGTGTGAGCTCTGAGCAGCCTACCAGCTGAGCTTGTTCAAAAGGCCTCGAGATGTGCGGCGGTGCGGCGGTGAGAGGAAATGTCCGGTGTGTCGCCCCCGTATTAAACCCCCGTGCCGCTGCCTCCTCCTCCGCGGCCCACACATCCCTAAGCCCCATAACCCCTACACCATCTTACACTCCCTCCAAAACTTATCACTTCAGCAATTAGATCAATAGGGCGCCGTTCCCAGCGGGTTACGGGTTCATTTCTGGTTTCGCGACGCGACGCGGCGGTCTAGTTTCCGCCCCACTGCCACATCCCCGGCCCCCCCGGGAAGGTAGCTCGCCCACCTGGGGCCGGGAACTCCAATCATGGACAGATCCAGACATACATCCGGTGAGAAAGAGATGATCCGATATAACCTGTGTACAAGAGGGTAAGTAGCAGGGGTGTATGTCGTAAGTTGCAAATGCGGGGATCGTCCGTAATAGCCGGGGGGGAGAGGGGCTCATGGACGGGGCCCCAGCGGTAGGTTTATGGCTGGGTGCGCACGGTTGTCGGTTGTTGTCGGTTGTTGCAGGTGGCCGCGTCGGCGGACGTGAGTAAAGTGGTTGGTGGGTTAGTCCGGGTGTCCTACAGTGTGTGGGGATGCGTGTGCTTGGAGGACGTTTGGGTGTTTGGGGTATTATTGAGGGGCAGACGGACATGGTCCTTCCTCGGCGCTGGCAGAGCGAAGCCGCACGGGATTGTACAGCAAGCGAGATGAGACAAGCAAGGCCAGGCAAGCACATGTCAAATCCAGTTGAGGCGCATCACCCGAGTCCCGTCATCCCCGCACCCACCCCTGCACTGCCGCCGAGCAACCCTCACTGGCGCCGAGTACCCCCACCCACAGAGCCAGACCGAAGCCCAGCAGGTGGAGGGAGGCGGCGACCTGGCGGGAAGGGGGGAACGCGGGGTGGGGGATGGGGGGTGGAGGGAAGGGCTGGAAAAGATGATAGGCACGACGGAAAGACTGCCAGTCATGATAGACACCAGTCACGTCAGCGGGAAAAGCAGGACACGGGGCGAAAGCGTTTCCTAGCCCCCTCCCCCTCGCGCTTTTTGCATTTTCGTCTGTCTTCCCCCCGTATCTTCGCAGCTGGTTCGTGTCCAACTTGAACTTCTCCGAACTCACCTCCATATAGCCCACCGCAGCCAGTAAGGCCAACGTGCGCCAAGGTACCTTGGCGGCCGCAGTGGCGGCGGCGCTGGCGGCGGCAGACGCCGCCGCCGTCGCAGCGGCGGTGGCCGCGGCCGCCGTCGCCGCCACAGCAGCCGTCGACGGAAAATGTATGTGCGGATGTGGAATGCCGTATACCTCCCAATCCGACGCACCGCCGCCGCTCACAGACCTGGACCCCGCCGCCCCCGCCGCCGTCGACGGCAGCCCGTTAGCGGGCCCGCTGCCCTTGGCGGCAATCAGAGGCGCCTGCAACGCCCCGGGGGGCCCCATGGAGAGGGCCAAGGACCCGGGGGGGGCACTGGAGGTGCTGGGAAGTGTCAAGGAAAGACCGCCGTCGCCGGCCCCGCCGCCGCCACCACTAGTTTCCACCGCCGCCGCATCCGTCGAAAATGCTGTCGGCGGCGGCACGGTTGCCGCCGGCGCTCCTTGTCGGGCGTGTGCACTGAGTCGCTCCTGCCCCCCCAATGCTTGCGGCTGGCGACAGAGTTGGTTACGTTGCCATACCCCGGCGGTAGACATTGGGAGTATCAGAGAGCGGGGAAATATGTGGTGTTTAATACGATACTAGATGCAGCCGCCGCCGCCGCATGTAGAGGGGTTCAAGAGCTTCTCTCTGCGCACTGCTAAGGGACCTTGCCACTGCTTGTCCAGTGCGTTCTCAACACACAAGGAAACGCACCGCTGCTGTCTGGCTGTCTTACCCTCGCCTTCCAAATGATTCCCCCTTTTTCACATGGCTGGACATGGGCCTATCTGTCTTCGTGCCACTCTACCCGTCCCTCCTTCCGCTTGACCGTCATTCCATCTTCCATTCAGTCCTTGTACCCGTCTATCCGTCTGCCATGTCTTTCTGTATGTGCGTCTTACCTTGGGTCCCAAGGACACTGCAGCCACCATAAGGCCCAGCTCAATGACTCCCCCAGCAGCGAGCAGAGCGACAAAAACGCCCTGAAGGGGTTGGGGTTGGGGGGAAAAGACGAACCACGAGCGAGTGAAGCTGCTGCCAAGGAAAAGAATGCTGCGGCGGGGTGGGGGGAAGGAGGGTCAGAAAAAGCGCCGGTGGTGTGATGGGGCGTGGTACTGGTTAAGGCGTGTCGGTACTTATATTGTGGTTCCCCATGTCGCGAGGTGGTGAGCTAGTGAGCTCATGCGCTGATGTGCTGAGGGGCGGTGACAAGGTACAAGGTACCTCTCATCGCCCAAATAATGCAACTGCAGACCTTGAAAGAAGGTCAAATCATTTCCCCCCTGACACCTCTCCCACCACCACACTTCCACTCCCGGGCCCCTCTTCCACCCGTCCCCAAACAGTGTGTATGCCGTACCTCCAACCCCGCAATAGCCCAGAGGCCCCTCAGTAGCAGGTTCCGGAGCGCGTGAAGGGTCTCCAGTAAGCCCTGGGGGAGAGGCGGGAAGGCCCGAGATGGGAGGAGAGGCCAGAGGGGTGTCAGGGTTATGAAACTTGGGAAAATGGACAGCGCCGGCTGAATAGTCAACAGAGCGCGCGAGCCATAAAGCCGCGTGTGCGAAGCGAGTGGCTCTGAACGGCGAGGTGGGGTCGCGACGTCGGGGGATCGAATCCTGCGGCGACCTCCATCTTGGGGCCGTCAGCTCACCGTCAACCCGTATGCTTCCTGTCAACCACATATCCCTCAGCCGCTACTTCCACCTCGTTCCACCCACCCACATATACACCCATATACACATCCATATACATCCATATACACACATGCATAGATACATACATACACACATACATACACACACGCACACACAGACCGGTTCCCCCACTTGCTCACCTGGACCGACATGATAAGGCCCAACGAGTAGGCCATGATACCCAGGGACAGCCAGAGGAGCCGTCGCTCCGGCTGGGTGGCACAACCCAGAAGGTAGGGCCCAAGACCGCGCCGCCGCCGCCGCCGAGCTGAGGACGAGGAGCCGCCGCCGCCACCGGGGCCACCGCCGCCGCCACTGCTGCTTCCACTGACATCGGCGCCGGCTTTCCCACGGAGGCAAAAGCGGCTAGAGAGGCAGTACGCGTGCGGGGCGGGGCGGGGGTGCGGGCGCGGGTGTGGGTGTGGGGGAGAGATGGGGAGAGATGGGGACGTAGGGGCAAGGTGCGGGGTATAGGCTTACGTGGTTATGTTGCTGGCTTGGTGAGGTGGTGAGGTCTGAGAGGAGGATGCGTAGCTTTTGGTGGAGCTCGTGGTGGTGATTGAAGCTGGAATTGGAGGTACAGATGACCCTGGTGGAGAACTGGGTGGAGATGCCTGACGCGCATGTCTGTCTGTACGTATGTACGCTACCAGGTCCATCTTGGCTGGCAAGAGGCAGATGTCACACATCCAGCCAGACACTTTCGCAGCTTTGGAACCGCACCCGGTATATCACAACCCTCAAGCCAACTCACGCACATGCATTTGCAAAGGTGACTTGCAACTCCTCCGTCATCCTTCCTTGGATGCCAATCCTAGGAGCCGTACAGCCAACAAGGGCCCACCTACCCACCCTCCTACCCACCCACCCACCCTCCCACCCACCAGGGGTAGCACAGAGCCCCGCAAAAGCAGCGACATGCCGCCAAACATCCCCGCCACGCGAGAAGCGGCAGGAGCTTCACCGCCGGACATGCCGCTGCGGTACGGAAGGCGAAGCTGCCCCAGCCTCGCCATGCGGTACGCCGGGGCTTATCCCCATCGTCGTCGTCATCGGCGCCGTCATCGGCGCCTTCGCCTTCACGGCGGCTGCGAGATGATGCCGTCGCCGCAAGCAGCGGCTGCTCTTCGCTGCAACGGCGATGCGCCGGTACGGCAGTGCCGGCGGCGCCGCCACCGCTGCCGCCACTGCCATCCTCGGAGAACCGTGCAACGGCAGCCTGGGGATCGGCCGATGGACCGACTGTTGAAGTGCCTTGACGGAGAAGCTTCGCCGCCGTTCCATCATGTGACAATCTGCGGATACGGCTATCGTACGACAACAGCCGGCCGTCAGGTCCTTGCAGCGGGGGCGCCGCGGCCGCTCCCTCGTCACCGCTGACCGTTGCGGACGAGTTGAAGCTGCTGTACGACTCCGAGGCCGATCTCCCGCTGCCGCTGCCGCCGCCGCCGCCGCCCCCACCGGCCGCGGCCGCACGCCGGCCGTCCCATTGGTGGTGCGCCGGCGCTGCCGTACCGCCACGCTGCTGCTGCTGCCGCCGATACGGCCCCGACGTCGACACGTCATGGAGCGAATCTTCACGATGCATCAGCGGCTCGTAAACGTCATTGTCGTGCCCACCGTACACGAGACGGAAGGTGTGGGGCAGCCCCAGCAGCGGCGGCGAGCCGACCTGCGAGGCGACCGCACGGTACGACTCCGCATACGGCTCAACAACCGTACCTCTGCTACCCTCGTACTGCTCGTGCCAATAGCGGCCATCTCCATAACCCCCATAGCGCTGGTCAGCGCAGCCGTGGTGGTGGTGCTGATGGTGAGGGGGTCTCTGGTGTGGTGCCAGGATAAGTGGCATGCACTTGACTACCAGGGCTGACAGCGCCGCCGCCGCCACGATGGCAGCGGTGGCCGCAGCCACAAACAGCCTCAGGCGGTGAGCGACCCGTGGGTCGTTTCCCAGGTAGTGTCCCGCGGGTCCCCATGCGGAGGTGCGGTGGACATCTTCCGCAAGAGGACATGCCAGGGAGGAGGTGTCGCCTGTCCCCGTGAGCACCGGGAGAGGGGCAGAGGGTGTGGGTGTGGGTTTGGATATACGCGTGTAGGAGGCGGGGGTGTGCATGCGATGGTGAGGAGGGTTTAGGAGGGTCCAGAGGTCGGGAAGTGAACCATATGAAAACAGTTTCAAAATTGGGAAGAGGGACGGGCAGCGCCACCACGACGCTCAACACACGAAACGTCCTCCTCTGCTGTCTTGCTCGTGTCGTTCTTGCAAGTTGTTATGGGCACATGCACAAAGGTGGACATACACGCACACATATGCACGTGCACGTGCACCTAACGCGCCCCACAATCCCCTATTAGTCCACAGTTATCACATGATCCCCTAACGGGTGATCTCAACTCCACATCCAGGACCTCAACCCTAATCCATTTTCCCCCAATCGCCCCATTCCTCCCCATACTCTCACACACAAAAACACACACCAGTCTGGGCCAAAACAGCATCCTCATTCCACCTTACAACTTACAACCCTAAGGACCTGAGTTCGACCCCAGCCACCTAACCTGCCCATCTACCTTCTTCCACACGCTTCTATCCCACACGCTTCTATCCCACCAGATCCCACCAGGGCCCGTATGGATCGCCCTCAGCTCCTTCACCTCCCACCCACCCCAGCTCCCCCTCCCCTCTCAGCTCCCCCTCCCTGAGCCTGAGCTTCCAGAACTCTCGGACCGTTTCCGGATTTGGACGTCGGAATCGACCCTTTGTTTCTTGTTCATGATTTGCCCCCTTTCCCCCCTTCCCTTCCACCTCTCATCCCCCAGCCCGCCCCGCTCCCCTTCACCCCCCGGCCCCGCTCACGTGCCAGTGTTGCCAGGCTGAGGCCCCCCAGTCCAGGGAGGGGCTCCCTGGCGTCCCACAGCGGTGCGGGCAGCTCTCTCTCCCAGGAGTAGGCGGCGGCTCGGCGGACCAGCGGACCGCTGATGGGCTCAGCCAGCTCGGGGGCCACACGCTTGGGGGATAACACCGGGCTGAGACAACGAGGTGGTGGTAGTGTGTGAGGGAGAGAGAAAGGTGGGGGGGGAGCGGGGGGTTAGCTGAGGCGCGAGGCGGATGAGGAAGGAGCGCTAGCAAACGGGGAGGGGGAAGGTCGTCGCAGTTAATCGAGGGGAGCTCTGAAACCGCAAACCAGGTACCACACCAGACATAACAGCTGTATATATATACATTGTTGTTGTTGTTGTTGTTGTTGTTACAGCGGGCTACATTGTGTTCCTAGCCAGCATCAGCCGAGGGTACAGCCGCGGGCTCGGCAGGGCAACGTGTCTGTATGTCTGTATGTCTGTGTATATGCCCCCACAAGCCCACCACCTACGTCCAGGTCACGTCCAGCGGCCTGGCCCCCACACCCCCCAGCAGCCGGTCCAGAATGAACACGGGCGGGTTGCGGGGGTCGCACGGACCCGCCAGCGACAGGTTGTGGGTCAGGCAGGTGATGGAGAAGTTGGGGGAGGTCAGCGGCACACCCCAGTTGCCTGCAGCAAGGGGGGAGGGGGGAAACGGGCGCACGCCGCCGTGGCGGAAAACACGCAGGAAACGGATCGCCGCGGCAGGGCGGCATATGACGTTGGGGGGAAGTAATCCTCCATCCCGAAGGAGGTATACTTGCATCGGCCCGCGCCGACAATGCCCCGGCGCGTCAACCCCCCTTCCCAAGCTCGCGCCTAACCTCGCCCACCCTTACCGAACACCTTTCCCCCTCTCCCTCTTCCCCTCTTCCCCGCCTCCCTCCTCTTCCCCCAGTTGGGAGCCACCGACCAAAGGCCGCCACTTCAAGGGGGCCCGGGCGGGAATGAACGGGCCCGTCAGAGTTCCCCACCCCACCCCCCCCCACACACCTTTCCCCCTTCACACTCACGCCAGGCTCGTGTGGGAGCAATTTCCAGTCACCATAGCACCTTGCCACAACCCACATCAATAAATACAAGCTCCCACCCCATCATCATAAAACTCTTGCCTTCCCCCCTCCGTCCATCCCCCCCTTTCCCTGGTCGAACAGCGTCCTGCTCACGTCTGAGCCCTACCCGCTCCCACCCCAACGTATCAGTACATGTTCGTTCGTGGTTCGCCTCCCCCCACATGTCCCTCCCAGGCTCCACCCCCTCACCCAGATATGCTGTCCAGGCCAGTGCGCCCCCCGGTCTGAAGTCCTCAGGTGGCACCCCCTCCCCCTCCTTCCCCATCTCCTGGGGAAAGGGCAGCCACCGCGTGTTGGCGGCGGAGGGCACGAACAAGGGGCCCCCGGCAGCGAAACGGTCCGCCACGTAGATACCGTCAAAGTTGAGCAGCTGCTTGAAATTCACCTGTTGTTGGAGCGAGGTGTATGTGTGTATGTGTGTATGTGTGTATGTGTGTATGAAAAAGGTGAGGAAAGAGCGGGGGAGGAAGGCAGGAAGTGGCAGATGGGCGAGGGGGTGATGACAGGATGGGGGAAGGAGGTGAGATCGAAAGCAGACAGGGGAAAAGGAGGAGGAAGAAGGCCAGGGGCGGACGCGCTCACACCCAACCAGTTAGCCGATAAGCCAGCCGCAAACTAGCCGCAGAGGCCAGATAGCCCAATAGGGCCCAAGCGATAAGACCCCTCAGCCACAATGGCCCGTAATGGCAAGCCCTAAAGGCAAAGCTCCTCACTGCCCCTCACGCCACCGGACTCCATTCAGTACAGCCATCACCATCATCACCCTCACCACCACCCACTTCAATACAACTTCCTTCTTCCCACTTTGAACATCTTTCCCCACCGGAGAAAAACCCACACTCTTAAAACCCTCCAGGAGACGCACCCCAACACCCGCAATCCCAAAACCCGTCCACACAAACACTCCGTACGGAGACCTACACACTCCATTTTTTCTCCTAAAACCAGCATGCACGCGTGATTACATACGTGCATACGTCCCCCTACCCCCCCCACACACACACTCCCACCTTGGCGTACACGTTCAGGTTGCTGGTGTGCGGGCTGTTCGCATGGCTGTGCAGTCCCGAGTACACCCGGGGCCGCAGCTGCCCGGTGTCTGGATCGGGCTCGAAGGAGCAGTCGCCTGGGGGGGGGGAGGGGGAGGCC